AAACTAGGTCGGGACCCAGGCCTTCTGCAGAGAGCCACTGATTTGGCTATTTGGCATTAATGCTGATTTCTGTCATGTCCATATTCCCACTCTTAAGAAAGGTATTTGGTCACCTCTTATCTGGATTGTTGTAGCACCTCCTAAACCTTTCTCTAGTTTCTCCTCTGTTCTGCTACCAGAACAAGCTTTCCAAAAAGTGGTTTTGGTCATATAATAGTTTTATAGGGCTGCCACAATATGGGATCTTATACTAACAGAGATTCATTCTCTCGCAGTTTTGAAAGCTAGAAGTCTGAAATCAAATTGTTGGTAGGGCCACACTCTGAATACTTTAGGGGAAGATCCTCCTGTCTTTTCCTAAATTCTGATGGTATTCCCTGGCTTGTAGATGTGTCATTCAAATCTCTGCTTCCATCATTATATGACATGTCTCCTGTGTGCCTATGTTTCTTCTCTTTTTATAAGGATACCAGTGATGTTAGATTGAGGCTTCACCCTACTCCCGCCTGATCTCATTTTAATTTGATTCATCTGCAAAGATCCTATTTCCAAATAAGGTCCCTTGTCACTAGGAATTAGGACTTACGCAGTCTTTTTGGGAGACATAATTCAACACACAACAGATCATATTATACCTTTGCCTATAAACGTGGAGTGGCCCCATACTCTACCAAATTAGCTATAAAGGTTTTATCTTGGTGTTCTGAAACTTCTACACTAATAATTATAACAAACAATAGTAGTGAAAGAAACAGCCATATATTAAGAACTTCCTTTGACATTGTTCTAAACATTTTACACATCAACTCTTCATAACAAAGCTATGGGTTGGATACTATTACTATTTTCCTCTTTTATAAAAGAATATCAAATTGAGTAACCAACCTAGAGTCACACAAGTAGTCAGAGGTGAGATTCAACCCTAGGCTTCAGCACTAAACCATCTTAACTTTTTAGCATCATCTCTTCTCCTCTACTTATACTTATGCAGAAAAAAAGTCACTTAAACCACTCCTGACTATCTTTTACTCTAACTCAGGTATTACATCTTCTCTGAAACTTTACAGATTCCTTAGGCAGTTTCTACTTCCATACCCCAAGTGTTTATCTCTACTAAAGAGTCATTGGTATATATATATATATATATATATATATATATATATATATATATATATATATATTACTTCCCTATATGTCTTTCACTATCTTCCTTATGGTATAAACTGTTATGCATCTTTATATATCCATATTTACTATGTGCCTCTCATTCTTTTAATTACTGGGACTATGGTGTTGATATAAATAGACAGTTCTTACACTCACCTGGGGTGGCAGGAATGGGGGGAGTGCTCAATAAACATTTGTAGAAATAACTTGAATTGATATTCTTGACTGAAGAACTAAATGTCCACTTACCTGTTCCACTGGCGATGTTTAAAAGGGTGTTGCCATGTGATTTCTTGCATACACAGTGATGTTTAGTTACCAATACCACCTTATTTATTGGGCATCTTCTAGGGAAAGAATCTATACCCTTAATAAAATGAAGTATCAAACATAAGTGAAATGGCAGAAACTCTGTTATATCTTATTAGACCATGAGGAGAGGCAAGTATTGGTATAGGTAAAGTTGGGGAGTGGTCACTGATAGGCACTGAAGTGCCTTTAACACATTTGATTGGCTGATATTTTAGTTTTCTGGACTTGAGAGTTTAAAGAACAGCAATAAAATATGTGTCTATGTTTTTAAAATATATTGCCACTCCCTCAGGTTGTTTTGTGGGGCTGCCCAAGGAAGTGGTCTGGAAGAAAATGAACATAAAGCAGCTGCTCTCTCCTTTCCCGAAAGCTGAAGGTGCTAGTGCAGTTGCTTTTGCTTCTGCTTCTGCTTCCCCCAGAGAGTTTGTTCAGAAGACACACAAACTAAGTCTGCACTACTGTTGCTTATGGGGAAGTGAATGTTTCGACTAATGGGCACACCAAGTATGTAGCAAATTAGAAATCTTCTTTTTGGCGTAGCTCAAACTTTGCTCATACATGCAAAGATCCTGAGACATTGAGAAGCTGTGCATTCTGAGGGCTCAGAGGCTTATCAGACCCACCAGTGTATTCACCAAAGGCAGACAAAAGAAGTGGGTTATAACAATAAACTTCATTTGGTTTACCTCTGTGGTCCTCGTTTGTGCTGTTTCCATCTTGCCCAGCAAAGCCAGAACCTACTAACCAATGTGATTCCTCACCTTGTATTTCCTTTCTCCTCTGCTCTCCACTGTCTGATTTGGTTTGTGGTTTTCAAAGACATGGTTGAACAGAGCAAACATGTTTCTCTGAACTAGAATCAAGAATCCTGGCTTAGCTTGGACCACAGAACATTCATACAGCCTTTTTGTCATAGTTTTTCCTGCCTGGCCCTTAGTTGGGAAATCTGAGTGGCTCCTGAAGTTAGGCCTTCTTATGTCATACTGACAGTGTCAAAGAAGTGAACCATGCCTCTTCAGACCTTTAGACTTTCAGAGCTAAAAATTTGCCTGCTTGATGTCAGCTTCTTTGCTTCTTCTAACTTGAAGTTTGCAAACTGTTTCTTTTTAGCAAATGGCCACCAAAAGTGTGACCCTCAGACAAATTTAACTAGAGTGAAGCTATGAAGGCACTATGCTAATAATGTCGTTATGCCTCATTTTGAGATTTCCAAAGACAGATCATCAAGCAGGATGAAGCAGACTGACAGGTTTTTCCTTTGAAAAGTTAGGTATATTTTTAGCTCCTCTCTCTGCCTTGCCAAACTTGATCTGTTTCATCCAAGGATCTAACAAGCTGCATGGTGCTGCCCCCTACTGGTTCTTTTTGGTGCTTCTGTTACCACATTAGAAAAATCTCAGGTTATGTGATATTTAATGTTTTTCTGAACACTTTCATGTATTTGTATTAAATTCTCATGATAATGTCATGGGTTATATGAAACAGGCATTAGCATGCCTACTTTATATGTAAATATGAAAACTTCCTTATTATTTCATCTGACAAAGTTAAAAGGCCCTAGAGGCAAAATTGGACAAAAATTCATATATCTTGCCTCTTATTCCATTAGATTCCCTAGCCTTTTATACATTTAATATTCCCTCTCCCACCAAAGAAAAAAGTATTAAGAGCTTAATTTTAGGGTTAGAGCAATTTGTCCCCTTTTCTACCATGGAAGGAAGAGGGAGATAATACATCATATAAGTTCCATAACCTAATTGGCAAAAAAATTTGCGCTCCTATTATACAACAGGCTCTCTGACTAAGATGTGGTGACCTCTAACTTTCACTCTAATGTAGCGGTAAACAGAGTGGACTCTGGAGCTACAGCTACAGTAGCCTGGATCTACTGCTTAATAATTGGGTAACCTTGAACAAGTTACTTAACCTCTAATTACCCTTTGAAAAATGAGAATAATAGCCTACTTATTTCATAGGGTTATATACAGATTAAATGAGATAATATATGTTAAATTCTTAGAATAGTACCTGGCACAAAATAAGCACTATGTAAATAAATCTTAACCACCATTGCCATCTACATATAAATATGCTTATCTGCTCTTCAGACAAACAAACAAACAAACAAAAAACAGCAAAGCAGCCCTCATGGATATGTAGGAATGACAAACAACCAAATTTCTTGAAAAAAGCATGTCTTCACATAGTTTCTCTATGGCCTTCTCTCTTATGTACTCAGTTCACATATGTCTTCTCCTGGTCTCACTTTGCTTTGGCAATGGTGGCCATTGACTTCCTAGTTGCAAATTCGGTGGACACTTTCGTGCTCATCTTACTTGATCTGTAGCAAGTTGATAGAATTGATCATTTCCTCTTTGGAATGTTCTTCTCTGGCTTCTATGATGACATTTTTTTACTTGGCTCTCCTTTCTCTGCCTGCTGCTTTAAATGTAACTATCTCTTGGGATTCTGTTAATTTTCCACCTTACATAAACTCTGGGCACTATCATACATTCCTTGGCATCAGTGACTACTTCAGCCCAATGATATTGCCTCCTAAATGTTAGTCTCTAACCCAGATTTTGTTCCCAAACTTTAAATTGACATCTCCATGTTGGTTGTCCCACAGACATTTAAACTCAGTGTGTCCCAATTGAACTACCATTTAATATTGCCTCTTCTAAAAACCTGATCCTCTCCCTATATTCTGGATATTATGGTATCCAGGGACCAATAGCTTGGGAACATCCTAGAACTTTTCCTTGCCCCCTCATCCAGGCAGTTTTCAAGTTTTTTTGTTTTTTTTTTTATTCTGCCATTTAAATACATCTTAAATCTTGCTCTATTCCAATGCCTCCACTATTGCTTTGACTCAGGTGTCTTGCTTTCACCAAGATTATTCTAACAGTCTCCTAGTCTATTTTTTCCTTCTTTATATTTCCCACTCTGATCTATCTACATACCATTGCTAAAATAATTTGTTCTTCAAAAGCAAATATGACCATGTTGCTCCTCTGCTTAAAATGCTTCTTTTGTTCCATATAGACAGGATGAAGTCCATATATCTTTGCAAAGCACATCAGCCTCTCTATGATATGTGCATTGAGTAAGTTTATTTCTCAAATGTCTCATGCACTTAATCTAGAACTTTGCATATGCTGCTCTCTTTGTCTTCCTGCTCTCCCAGATCATTCTTTCAGACTCCTGCCCAGCTTTCTTTGACATACACAAACTGAGTTGGTAACTTTATCCTCTGCATTGCATGGTGCTCTCGTGCCTGTGCAAACCATATTTTAGTATTTACCACATGATATTGTTTGTCTATATCATGATATTGTCTTTTGTTCTCTTCAAGGGAAGGTATCTTTGTATGCCTCACTTTCCATAATTTCTGGGTACAGAGTAAGCCCTCAATAACTTCAAAAAAACAAACATACAAGTTTCTGTCTTCTAGGTACTCTCTAGTGGTTTCAGCACCAGCCTACATATAACTGACAAATGGGTATTCTTTTGTTTTGCAGTATATCGACTTTGGGAACCTGGAACAATTGCTAGACAGTAACCTGCATTTGACCTGGACTGTGAGGGTGAAACTGGCCTATGACATAGCAAAGGGCATCAGATACCTTCACAAGAAAGGCATTTTCCATCGGGACCTCACATCTAAGGTATAAACACTTTAATTTCACAACTCTTTGGGACACTGTATTCCTCTACAAGAATACCAGTCAGATGCCAGTTGTATTAAGCTACTAGTCCTTAATGAGTTTAGAAATAATGGAGGTCTTATAGAGTTACCATTTAATCACAGAGGATTCAACTTATTACTGTGTAGCTGGTCCTTAGAAAGCCTATTTTGGCTCACAGCAGGTACCTTCAATGTTGAGCCAGGCAATCCATACATCTTGAGAAACTTTAGCCTTGACTTCAGTCTCCTGAATGTGTATTGCAGGGCCAGATGGCAATGTAGGGGCCTTTTTGTGTTCTTGTCCATGACCTCCAGGAAGTAGCTTTTAAATGAGAGCAGGAATCAGTGATTTTAGTAACTTGAGTGCAAGTTTTGAGGGCCATAATGTACTGACCCATTTTCTATCTATGTGATTGAATTTCTGCCATTCTGCCAGTTCCTCTTGGGAATCAGCTGGTCTCTGTAGTTTTCTCTTGCTGTCCAAACTGATGTGTGATCAGGTTAGAAAAGAGTTGCTTTTAAAGGAGTTGGCCATGCTACAAAGCAGCCACCTCATGGCCAGCTGGCCTAGGACACCATCCTGACAAAGCTTCCATAAATAGTACTGTTATCCTTGATGGCAGAACTATAAATTATGTAATGTGGATTTCTGTCCAAGAGCTGACTTCAAGTCTTCTAGGGAGGCATATAAGAGTTTTGTACCTGCCTAAGAATAGCTGTCATTTTATTCCCCACACTCAACACACAACCCCCCCACCCCCGCACATACCTGCATACAGATACTCCTGTGTTTATGTGTCATAAGGGTTTGCAAAGGGAAAAAACAGGCATAATTTCAGAGGCCTAGAGCAGTAAGTACCAGCTACCTCACTCTTGAATAGTTCTGGTGTTCCAAACAGCAGTGCTTTCCCAAGAGACCTTGGCTATTGGTCTATAAACTATTTCATGTAAAACAGCTTTGAGGAGGTGATTGTAGGACCTTTAGGTGTGGCAGGGCCATTTGTAAATAGCTGCACTGTTACTGAAGCTAAGAAGGAGCACAAGTAGAATCTACAGGCCAGCTGAGACCTAATTATAAAATCTTATCTATATGAATACTTAAAAGGAATGGACTGGTAGACATTTGAGACCTAGAAGATAGAATCTTATTTCTTCGTCAGCATTCCCTTCTTCCCTCGAATGTGTTAGAAAAATAAGACTAAGAAAACTGTACTTGTCCCAGTCAAATGGGTGATTAGTATCAACTTAGACACTGTCTTAAGTTGATAACCTACTCTCAGCTTGGGCATGCAACAAAATTGAATCTTGGCTTTCTACCCAGAGAGAACCATTTCTTCCAAATGTGGAGGGAGATAGTGACAAGTTATTAATAATATTTCCCTCATACCTACATGAGTGTCTCCTGTGCATGGTACCAGGGATGAAGGAGTATTAGAAAAGAGGAGTTTCTGGTCTCTAGAGGTGCTTATAACTAACGAATAGCAGCCATTGACTACAGGTTTTCAGAGAAGCAAAACATCTCTAGGCTAGGATAGCTAGTCTCGTTAGAGAAATGATCCACTCCCTAAGAGTTTATCATATTCCCTTCTGTGCCCTTAGACCACTTTGTCCTATTATTCTAGTGTCCAGGTATGGCTCTGTCTGGACTTGTCCTGCTATATTATGAAAATGACTAACCTTTCCAGACTTTGTAGGGTAAAACCACTATTCTTTGTTTTCCTTATAGGGAGTGGGTAGTCCCTGTGTTCGTTAGCTTGAGATGAAAAACTAGGAATTTAGGAGTACGAACTTTGCGTTTCTGGGTTGTGCTTTCTGGGTTCTGGAGGTATTTAGGATATTCTGGGTGGGAAAAACAAATGACTTTATAATATAAAGACAGCCTGGGACTCAAGTTGAGGACAAGTAAAATTTATAAGACTGTCTTATAAAATTAGACCTAACATTGGCTGTCTGTGTTCATTACTCTTTTACCATTTCTGAGCTTTTGGTTTATTTTATCTGTTTCAGATATCTGTTTATCATGTTTCAGCCTCAACTGTGTTGCAGAGATTAGGGAGAAGGTTGTATGTCCACAGTAGGCCTCAGCAACCCCACCCAGGAGATTTGTGTGGTAGTGACAGTGACCTTGAGATTGAAAAGCCGCAAGGAGGGAAATAAGCCTAAAGGGACAGAGTAAGGCTTTGAGGTTTCCAAATTATTGACTCATTGACAATGTGAGATCTAATTTGATATCAAAAGTTTTACTTATATTTTAGTAATTGTGTCAGTGTCTCCCATCAGCATATGAATTTCTTACGCACCTTTTTATTCCTAGTACAGAGTCTGAGAATGTGTTTGCTAGTACAGATGCCAACACATGTGCTAGAAAGCCGAGATTCTGGTTCTCAGACTTAGTTTTGTCCCACTTCTCCAAATGACTTCACTGTCCTTGGACATCATTGTTCCCAGTCTGGAATATTGATTCTTTCCTTGACTTAGAAGCAGTCTGGGTTTCTTAGATCATAGCTAGCAGCAGGAATTTAAAATTATTATTCCCAGAGGGGTTAACCAGGACAGAGAGAAGAAGATGCCTTTTTCTAAATGGCGTAGCCTGTGGCAGAGGCAAAGGTGTCCTATCACAGCACCTTCTGAAATAGTATTGCCTTTGTAGGATTAACATGTCAGTACTGTTCTAAGTCTGTCAGATATGGTGGACCAGTCTAATTTTGTAATTCTGAGAAATAGCTTGATACAGATTTGTGCAGTGGCAATGCTAATAATTTACTTAGAAGGAAGTGGGAGATGTGGTTTTAAAATACTCAGTTTATGAACTCCATTAAGAAGTGGCTAAAACCACACATAGGCTTTTACCAGTAGTTTTAGGAGTAAGTAATAAACTGTACATGAGACTTGGTTCTTAAGGGCAGCTTTTTTTAAAAAAAGATTTATTTATTTATGCATACAAGAACTGGGGTACAGGCCAGAGGTATGGGGGGGTGAGAGGTTTCACCAGAGACAGTGTGGGGAATAGAACAGGCAGACTGACTGAAATACACTCCTGAGGGGAGCAGCGGGCCAGGCAGGAGAGGTCTGCTGCACCATGTGGGTAGCTCCCTGGATGGCCGGTATTGAACTCGTGCTACAGAGGCTGTGGATAGCTTCATAGTGCTGTGCTTAATCCCTTGTGTCACCAGGGAGGCTCTTAAGAGCAGCTTTGAGAGGAGTTTGTTTCTGTTTAATACCATTATTGCCCAGGATAAAGCAAGTGCCATTGCTTTTTTTTTTTTTTTTCCCCTATTCCTAAGGATATGAATTATATGCACCTCTGGTTCTTGGTTATTTGTTTTGTTGTTGACTTAAAAGAAGCCACTCTGGTCATCCCACCAAAGTGAAATGCCTGGTCTTAGGCTATATCACACAGCTAGGATCAGAAAATGCCTATTTTCAGAGACTGAACAAAGTTGAATGCTGAGGGATGTAGAGAGCTATATTAGGACGCTCCATAGTTGTTGTTTTCCATGAGAACCATCAACAGCTTTGGGAATCATTTATACTGTGCTACTAGAGGACATTGTATTGGGACCTTAGAAATGACCAGAACCCAAGCTGTACTATCCATGGGCTTTTAGTCTGGTTGGGAATATAGGTATGTAAGCAGGTTATTACATAAGGTCTGTGGTAAGCGTATGGGAATCACATGGTGGGATTGGGAGCAAGAGATGGGACACATTACAGAAAACCAGATAGTCTTGACTTGGACTATAGCAGTCTTGGCTTTTTAGGAAGGTAATTCAATCTCTGATCTCCCTGTGCTGTGAAAAGACTGCCTAACCTTTCTGAGATGTAGAATCAGTACTTTCCTCTCTGATCCTAGCTGGGTTTATGGAATGAATTTGTTGAGAGTGAAAAGGAAAGAGGCGATGGCCCACTGAAGGTCATTTTTTTTTTTTTTTTTTTTTTTTTTTGTTACAGAAATAGCTTTAGCTTAGAGCTAACACTAACAAATGAACTTGACATTTCCCTGCTTAGGTGTTTTTATTCAGTGCCAATACTGATGGTGCAGCTGTTATAGGAGACCTCAGGAGCTGCTCTCAAGTGTTTTCTCTGGCCCAGTTCTGAAGAGTTTGTGTTGGCTGCCAGAAATTCATCCATGAGCACCCCTTTGATTCCCTTGTCAGTTTAACCCTCACTGTGGGAGCTGAATGTGTGATTAGTGTATACATTTGACATAAGCTTTTGAAAGAATCCCAGTTGCTTCAGTCATTCAACCACTTTCATTTAACAAACTTCAGCTAAGCTGTCTGTGCACCTGTGCTAGGTTAGAGATACAGAGATAAATGGAATCATTCCCTGCCCTCAAAGGGGCAAACATGTAAGTTGCTCTGCTGCAGTGTGCCATGTTACAATTGGTAATATATTGGGTGATGACAAAGAGGAATGGAAGCCAGATAGTTGCAATGCCTTGGCTGTTTTTTAAATCTGAAAAAAAGGTTACCTTTCACCGCAGAGAAGTCTGACTGGGCCTCTGTTTATGTCTGCCATCTGCTCTCTGAGGGTAAGGACAGTCTTACTCAAAAGCATTATTTATCCTCTCTGTGGTGAACCTTGCATCCCACATAGTCTGAAAATTGTCTGGATTCTTTAGATCTACAAGGTGGTCTGAGCTTCATATTTTATACTCTGCAGTCATGTAGTCTTTACTAGGGCCATGTCCAAGGTGGGTGAGAAATGCAAGCATCATTCTAGATGTTCTTGGATTAAACAACATTGGAAGGTAAGGATTAAGCCTAAGCGAAGGGGGATCATATTGTATTACCTGTACAGTGCTTCTTTCTCCATGGCTCCTGCCCCTGCCACTCCCTTAAAACCATATGCTCCTGCCATTGGCCTGGCCATCTCTATCAGAAAGCATTTCAACCTGTCTCTCTGGAGATAACAAACTTCTTATTAATTAGGAGCCATTCAGAATCTGGGCAAGTTTATATAAACACTCTAAGTTGTAGAGTTGTAGTTCTAGCCTTGCTTTTCTCACATAAAATGTAAAAATCTCACATTCTCCTGCCTGACAATGTCAGTTTGAAGAACCACTGGGTTTGTTTTTGTGAAAAAGGTTTTATAATTCCTAGGGTGCCACATGGACATAAATAGGCAAACTTTGCCTTACCTAAGGGCAAAGTTTCTCTAGGGCATCTCTGTCTTAAGATAACCCTGCTTTCCTAAGCTTATAGTCTGAAGCTATAGGGTGAGACAATAGAAACATGATACTTTCATTATAATATGGCAGATGCTAAAGTTAGAGAGAGGAGACAGCATAAGATGCTTTGGGAAAAAAACAAAAACAAAATTTAATCCAACCAGAGTACAGAGAAGGTTTCTTGGAAGAAACGATGCCTGAGCTAATCTTGACAATTGTATTCTACTTTAGTAAATACTGTCTGTTGGTGGGGTAACATTCCAGGCAAGACAAAGGGAATGGCATAAACAAAGGCTTAAAAGCATAATCAATATGGAGTGCATTCTGTTTTGTTGGAGAGGTAGGTATAAGAGTTGAAAAGAGAGGAGTCTGTTCATATAATATTATCTAACTTGGATTTTATCTTATACGTAGGAAATGAAAAACCTTTCAAAAAGTGACAGCTTTTTAAAGATATACCTCACATACAATAAAATTTACTTTTTAAAGTATATATTTATATGGTTTTTAGTATATTTGACCATCACCACTATCTAATTTCAGACGTTTTTATCACCCCAAAAAGAAAACTCCATACCTGTTCCCCTCTTCTTTCAGTCCTTGGCAACCATGAATCTAATTTTGATTTGTATGGATATATTCTGGACATTTTGTGTAAATAGAAAAATACAATATGAAATTTTTAACTTTTAAATAGGGGAGTAATAGAGTTTAATTTTATGAAGATCAGGCTGGTAGGAATGAGAAAGGTAGAGTGTGGAGACCAAGCCTGGAAGAGTATTGCAGTAGTCAGGAGAGGGATGAAGACCTGAACTAGGGCAATAGTAGTGGGAGTGAAGAGAGAGAGGCTGATTTGAAAAATATTTAGAAGTTAAAATTGGTTGGAATAAAAGTATATAAACTAGGATGAATCTCAGTTTCTAACTTGGCTTTCCATTCCCTGCAAAATAACTGTACTAGCTAACATAAAAATACACTAGTGTTTACTTTGGGGGAGAAAAGATGAGTTCAGGTTTGCATATATGAAGTTTAACATGAGTAACCCATTAAGAGGAGAGGCTCACAAATAGACTAGATGTGCATATCTGAAGCAGGAAGAAAAATGTCAGGGCTGAGTGTATACATTTGGGAGTCATCAGCACAGAAGTGGTAACTAGAAAAGAAGTGTGGAATTGTCTCCAGAATAGAGCATAAGAAACACATTATTGAACTCCAAGAGCATTAACTTCCTGGGATGGGAAAAGCCTGCTTTGGATTCTGTGGAAGAGTCAAAGGCAGAGTTGGAAATCTAGAATTGTTATGTCATAGACACCCAAGAAGAGAATGAAAAAAGGGCAGGAATAGCCTCTAACTAGCCTCTAGCAGCTAGTGTTAGCTCCATGACCACAACTGCTTATTCTCTGCATACCCAGTACTAGTATCATCCTCAGATCACATGTAAAAGCACTGAAGGAAATAATCATGTGTAAGGTGAGCATGATGACCACTTCCCTATGGAAACAGGGAAGTAATCATCAGTGTCAAGAGAAAAGATCAAGTAGTAGAACTAGTTTTATTTACAGAACTTGATGTCATAGAACTCATTGGCAATGAGTGGGAGATGAGGAAGTGAAAACAAGTGTTGCCAGCAGAAATTCACTAGGCTGATCTGTTAAGGGCAAAGTCAGGAGTTTCCTAGAAAACCTCTAAGTAGGTAATTTTAGCCAGAGTTCCTCCTCATTTTCTTTTTCATCTCAGATACAGACTCCTAAAGTTTGGCTTTTTTGGTTTCAGTATCCCATCTTTGGTTCTAATTCCCATCTCTTGGCTGTGGAGAAACTAAGAGGGGCAGTGGTCACACTCCAGACCAGAGGCAGACTGGTTTAAGCAGCCTTGCCTTATGTTGTAGGGCCTTGATCAATAGCTCCATCATAGCCATTTCTCAGTTGCTATGAGATGCTACTGTGAAGTCACTTACTTCTGGATAGGTAGTTTGCAGTGAGTGAACAATAATAGGTCTCCACAAATGTGAAGATGGGTATAAAAGGACAAGCTTTGACAAGGGCAGTGCACTGTGGCCATGTTCTGTTCCTTACTTGCTGCTCCCAAGCTGAATTTCACAGGTGTTTTCTGAGAGCCATAAAGCAAGTAGTAAGAAAGACTTTAGACTGAGCCTTGGAGTCAGGACTCTGAGATAACTGGTGAAATGGGAGGAGGGGAGAAAAATAGGTGACTGATCTGAGCTGCCACAGCCTCACAGGCAGGTGCCTTCTAGCTAAGGTTGGCTGTCTAATAGGCAAGCTGGCTTAGAGCCCCTCTTCTCACAATGGCAGCGAGCTGGGGGATGAAGAGCTAGTAGGAATTATGGGAGTGCTTGAATCAGGACAAGTACAAGGACAGCGGTGGTTAGTAGCCAGAGATGGTGCATGTCTACCTAGATTCCAGAGTAAGTGGATGTGAAGAAATCACTGGCGCTTTCCAGCTCAGGGAAAGAGAATATGTGATCACATCAAGACCAGAGTAAGGGTTTGATTTGTACCTGATGTGAAGTAAGCAGAAGGTGACTTGGCAATGCCTTGACAACTGGATGCCAAGGCTGGTGAGGAGGGCTAGTTTAAGTCAGCTAGGGCCTTGCTGGCCCCAGAAATGTCTCTATGAGCCAAGGATTCATTCTCTCTGCTGCCTCTAGAGGAAGTCGGGTGATGTGCCATCTGAGCCAGAGTAGTGTAGGGCTATTTTAAATGCAAGTATGTGGGGAGAGACTTCATTTTTATTTAGAAGTCATTTAGGTTCATCCTTTCTCTGAAGACAGCAGCATTTGTTCCGTGAGCATGAGCTGAGCGTCTCTCATTAATTGAATACTGTGACAAAGAAAGGCCAAAGCCATAATTTGCTCCTGAGGTGCTCAAAGCCTCTCTGCTGGATATTAAGAGGAAGTGGTATAGAGGAGGAGTTAAAGGAGTTGAAATGAGAGGAGAGAAAAGTGAGAGAGACACTGTGAAGTGAAGAGGTTAGGGCTGAAAAGGTAGCTTGCCTTTAGACACAAAATTCTCTGAGGTGCAAAGGAGAATTCGGAGTACATCCCAATGGAAGGGGACAGTATTAAGAAGGGTCAAGGTTTGAGGAGTCCATGTTAAGGCTTCTTAAATCAAGATTGCTTATGGCAAGTTTGGATGAAGATGTATGCATAGGAGCAGGTAGGAGGGGTAGACTGGTTCGTTAGAGGTTGTAATTCTATGGGCAAAGTTGGCATAGGCTTGGGCACTTGTCCTATGCTTACAGTATTTGGCAAGGTCAGGCCTGGCCTGTGGGTCCCTGCATTCTGAGGAAAGAAGGAAGAGAGCCCAGGGACTTGATAGTTTGTCTTCCTCCATAAATTGTAAGCTCCAAGAGGATAGGATTTCTGTTTATTGAGGTCTCTAATACTTAGAATCATTCCAAGTACATAGAAAGCAAAGATAAATATTTGTTTGGAGAATGATGTTAATCTTAGAATGGCACCCAAGGTCCAGGCCTAACTCATTTCACAGGCCTATCAGGGTTCCCAAGTCTGATACCAAGGTCAGCCTAACAGTGTGGTTCACCAAGGAGCAGAGGACAGGGTGCCCTGTAGGAGAGACGAGTGGGTGGTAACTCTTTGACTGGCTGGTTCCTATTTATGGCCACATTGTCTTCTTTTTGGGGAACCTTAGAACTGCCTGATAAAGAAGAATGAGACTGGTTACTCTGCAGTGATAGCTGACTTTGGCCTGGCTGAGAAAATCCCTGATGTCAGGTAGGTAACCTGGGTCACAGAAGGGAAAATGCTAATTACCTTCCCAAAGGCCAGGATTTGGTCACAAAATCAGACCCCTAAATTTTGGTCAGTCTGCCCATTTCTGGGAGAGGAATTCCCAATGGCCTGATATCCCATTGCACCAGCCACTGGCCACCTCATCTTCCATATAATCCCACCCCACAGCATGGGGAGTGAGAAGCTGGCTGTGGTGGGCTCACCCTTCTGGATGGCACCTGAGGTTCTCCGAAATGAGCCCTACAACGAGAAGGTGAGTCTGGGAACCCTAAAGGCCTGGTTTCTCCTTAGCATCCACTCTTAGCAGAAAGTATCAAGGATTACTCTTTATGTTCAAGATAATGATCTTCATCCTTTCTGCCAAGAGCAGGGATAGTACCTGGCAGCTGCCCAGTAAATGGATTAAATAAATGGGCAATAGATTCCAGGCCTGGGTGGGTGGTCATGAGGGGCAGAAATTCCACCTTTCCCCTTTGAGAGAGAAGCTGAGGTCTCACTGTCCACCAGGCGGACGTGTTCTCTTATGGTATCATCCTCTGTGAGATCATCGCCCGCATCCAGGCTGATCCGGACTATCTTCCCCGCACAGAGGTGAGCTGCTAGCATGGGGATCAGTGCCAATGGGATGGGGCTGGTTTTGAGGCTATGGAACTAATTTGTTCCTGGGTGAGAGTTGCTGGAACGCAATCTGTGTGGTGACTTCTTAGGCCTCTCCTGAGCAGGCCAGGATGGGTGGAGAAATTAATGGCCTGTCTACCCAAGTCCCATGTTCCCTTTCCACTATACTCATCCACAGAACTTCGGGTTGGACTATGATGCTTTCCAGGACATGGTGGGAGACTGTCCCCCAGAATTTCTGCAGCTCACCTTCAACTGTTGCAATGTAAGTGCCTCTTTCCCCTTGACTTTGGTCAGAGGGGACTTTGGCTGAATCCTTATCACCATGTTAGGACTAAAGGAGAGTCTACTAATGATGAACTTCATTGATGAGAGAGTGCTCATGTCCCTGCCTCTGGCCTATGATCCTTAGACCAAGGAAAAGAATATTGCTTTGTATTATCCTGTCCTTATCCTGCAGGGTAGACCTGCCATCCCCAGCCTTGGATATTGACAGATCTCAGATTAACTTTTAGTTGGGCTATGGATTCCACTGGTCCAAGGCCTATGGTCTTCTCTGACCTTAGCTTTGGGGGTCATTTCATGGTCTGGGGCTTTCAGACTTCTTAAGACACACATCTGAATCTTCAAAGATGCTAGAAACTGACTAACTGCCATCCTTGGGGTGGAAGATGAGGGGAGGGCTAATAGCAGATGTGGATATCTACAGATGGACCCCAAACTGCGCCCACCCTTCGTGGAGATTGAGATGACCTTGGAGCAAATTCACAGCTGCCTACAGAAGGAAGAGCTGGAGAGGGAAAGAAAGCAACAGGTCAAGGGTAAGAGATTAGACCAGTGTCCAACCTGATCCTAAGGGAGGAAATTAGGGACCTTCCACTCTAAGGCTGTGATTACAGGATCCCATATCCTGAGCAAGGGAAGGGAAAGGGATGATGGGAAAAGTACTGGACTCGAGTTATGACTTGGCATATTGCCTTCCTTCTTTTACTCTGTTCTCATTGGTGAAATGGAGATAACACTACCTACTTTGCTTTCCTGAGTGAAGACACTTTGTGGTATAAAATGTTGCTTCTTTTGATGTTTGTGTGACTAACCCTAATTTGACCCACTATTCTTCAGGACTGCTGGAGAAAGGACCTGGGGTGAAGCGACTGAGCTCACTGGATGACAAGATCCCACCCAAGTCTCCATGCCCGAGGCGTTTCATAGGGCTGTCTCGAAGCCAGTCAGACATCTTCTCCCATAAGCCTCCACATACAGTGAATGTCTCAGACCCCTACTACCAGCCACAACAAGGTAGTACTACCCACACCCCCAAAATCAACCCCTTCAGCACTCGCCAGGACCTCAAGTGTGGCAAGACCAAGTTATTTGATCAACCCAGCAAATCTTTCTTCTCCTTGGTATTTGACCTGGATGCACCGAGGCCTGGAATCATGCCACGGAAGCACTGGCAGGAGCCCTTGACCCCGCTTGCTCGCCGGTGGCGTTCTTTGCCTGGTTTACCAGAGTTCTTTCATCAAGAGGCATATCCATTTGTGGGCCAAGACTCACTTTCAGACGGCCCCCCACCACTTCTCAGTAGTCTCAAGTACAGAGTAAAAGAGATCCCACCATTCCGAGCATCTGCCTTATCAGCTCCTCTAGCCCATGAGGCCATGGACTGCTCCAGTCCCCAAGAAGAAAACGGTTTTGAGCCCAGGCCCAAAGGGGCCAGTCCATGTCTTCAAGGTACCTCTGAGGAGATGGAGGTAGAAGAAAGAAGGCCAAGAAGCTTGGCTCCAATCCCTTTCTCTGTCTCAGGCAAAGGCCTGAAAACACAAGGACAGCAGGATGGGTGATGGGGTTTAATTCTGGCCTCACCACAGGGCCCTCTTGGGGCAGTGTTGACTTCCCTGGAGCCCAAAGCAGCCAAGCCAGACTTAACCTTGAGGTTCCCAGTACCCACTGTGTATGAGAGGGGATGCAGAAGTGAGAGGACTTCCTAGCTAGGGCCAAAAGCTGATACCAAGCCTCCGAAATATAAAAGGAGCTCCGGCTCCCACCTGAGCTCCCAATGCACTTCCCCAGACAGGACCAGAGGATTCCTAGTTCTAGTTCATGCTGGCAGGCAGCTATTACCCCAGGTCTTCTCCTGCCCCTGTTGTGTCTCTTGCCCTTTCCTAGGGTATATAAGCTACTAGATGGAACCTGGAACTGACCAGGAAGCCACAAAGGCATGATAAATTCTCAGACCTGAAGACTACTTGCCAGTATGTCTAAGACACTTGAATAATTGTTATTTGCACTTACTGCATGGTCAGACCACATCACTACATTTCTATGCAAGAAGAAGGCAAGGCAGTGTGGTGGTCCTGGCTCTTAGCTAACATATTCAAAGATATTTTCCAATTGATTAATCTATTTTCTTATTTATGAAGGCATCTTAAAAGTTCTGCCCCATAAAACTTTCAATTTTGTAGTTGAGAGTGGGGCTGGTTTTGTAGGCCCTAGGGCCTGCTTTATATATTTGTCAACATGTGATACAACCAGCTGGTTAGATGGTTTATATATGGACTGATTTTCTTCCCTTCGTGCTATGGCTGCAGCTATGAGACATTCTGTCCGTAGAAAGTCACAATAAGAAATAACCAAAGATGAAGCTGGTCAAATATTTTCATAACTTGTTTCTGTTGATTTTTTTTTTTTTTTGCTAAAACTTTCCCAAGTCACTTTCAGATTTAAAAATAAAGTTGGTGTTACAGGTATTGGTCATCCTTCTTACTTGAACCCTTGTGCCTCAGCCTCTGGGGTAAAGGGGAAGGTCCAAGAGCAATGCAGCAGTTCTCTCTGCCAGGATCCCACCCCATCCCTAACTGTAGTAGCTGGGACAGGAACAGTCACCAGTAGAGGAACGTAACGATTCCTTTGTTCCACTTTTAGCTTCTCTTCCTGTGCCCTGAGTGCTAAGGTTGCTGCATGTCAGCTGCTGCCCCAAGCCAGCTTCATCTTCTGGTTGTGGGCTTTGGAGGAACGGGAGAACTGGCTCTTGGCCACTGTGAGGGGTACAGCTTTGCCACTTAGGTATACCTTGTTGTGGCATTCAGGTAGCCAGGGTCCAGAGCTAGAGGTTTGGGGTCCTTGGCTCATGCCCACATAGGCCATCACATAACCTGTCATAAAGGCATCAAAACCAGCCCGATGCAGTCCATCTCCAGGCACTGGGTTGGGACTGGCTTGACTTGCTGGCTCTTCTGAGGTAGCCATGTCAGTTGTTTCAGGCACTGATGCCTTAAGATCCAACTCCAACTCATTTTTACAACCTTGCTCAGAGCCAGGCTGGTCTTGTGTCTCATCCTCAGCCACCACCTGCTCAATTTCCTCAGCCTTGACGCCATCTCCACAGACCTGCTTTGTGGGAGGGCCATCCTCAACTTCTCCCAAGGTCTGTTTTTTAGAAAGGCCCATCAAAGCCCTCCGCCGTTTTTCCTTCCGTCGTCGCTTCCGTCGCTTGTCCTCTACCACTGCTTCATCAGTGTCAATGATGAGGTCAATATCATGGGATTGAGGACACTGTGGTCCCAAGGGGCACCAGCCATAGGCCTAGAGGCAGGAAATAAGATTACAGAGAGGGTTCAAATATCAGAACCTCCCCTCCCTGCCTGGCTCAGGAAATAAGAGGGTACTCTCACCGAAAAGTTGTCACAGATGCTACTGGAATGAGGACGGTGGGTTGTAGGGGGCATGCAGCAGCGGTAGTCAATATGGGCCCTCATGCTAGAAGGATAGCTGCAGAACTCCAGGGCAAGGTGTGGGCTGCCAGCTGCCCACTGCTTCCCATTTTCTCTCTCACTGCAACAGTGAAAGGATATTAGTCAATTAGGATATAAGCTCTATGAGAGAATAGGGTTTTTGTCTGTTTTGTTCACTGCTGCATCTTCAGCAGCTAAAACAGTGCCTGGCACATGGTAGGCATTCTCAATATCTTAAGTGAATGAAATGGTTTCTACCAAGTCCCACCCCTTACCCTCAACTAGTTCCTCACCATTTCCGGAAAGCATATTCTAGGTAGGAGGCCACAAAGCGGGCATGAAACTCAGCAGCATATTTGGTATCATAAATGCCAGCTGGGAACATTTCACACAAGTCAGCCGTGAAGGTTCCCAGGGTCTCGGGCAGATGTGCATAGAAGTTCTGGTACAGGAACACCAAGTCTATAAGACCATTGTGTAATACCAGAGGCCGGCGGGCCCGGATTAACTCCAGGAACAGAGTCCTCACTGATTGGCTCTGGCTCTCATCACCCTGGGTTGGGGAAAAAAAAAAAAAGTGGTCATTGGGAAGGAGTCTCTCTCCAGGGTGCCTCTTTTCAGGATCCTTATCCCAGGTACTCCCCTCCCTGTACCTGCCCCTCCCCCCCCCCCCCTCCGCCCCACACACATCTAGAAAGCTCTCCTTCCCTGCCTAACCCATGCCAACTCACTTGTGTTATCAGTCTTACTTCCCCAGCCCTGTCACTAGTGATCCCCCATAAGAAGCAGATTCTCCCTGTGCACCTAGTCTAAGGAAGGAAGAAATGAAGCGGCAATGGAGTCTCAAAGCTAGAGGCCTACCTTGTCGTTGCCCTTGTGGTAGGGAATACCCTGGGCATACTGCCTGTTGAAGTTGAAGCCATGCTGTACCAGGAATTGCACAGACTTTGGTTCTATGACATACTCCTCCATGCAGAGCAAAGTCAGATTGAACACCTGGGCCAGGTAGGAGTGTTCCTGGGAGAGAAGAGGGGTCTGCTATGTCAAGATTAAGGCGGGGAAAAAACTCATACCGGATATTCCCCAGCATCTCCACTCTCTTTCCCATAGCCACAGACCTGGGATGGGGGTAAGATCAGCCCATACCTTGTTTGGCTGCTGCTTAAAGCAGGCGAGGCCCAAGGAGAGGACAGAACGGGTTCTGGCAGCATGACACACCGCCTTGTAACGATCCTCGATGCACCTAGGGGTTGGGTTTGAGGGTAGCTGAGGCTGGGAGCCTCATGAAGGACTGGAACCACCCAGGATTGTAACCTTTATTCAAGAGTTGAGGCCTGCCCCTCCTGCCAAGGGTGGGACTAAAGAGAACAGGGCTTATACTTACTGGTTCAGCAAACTCTTTCTGTCCCCAAGCCCACTAAGTTCCTAAGGGTGGGAAAAGAGTTGTTTAGGTTCCTGGCACCAACCCTTTCATAACCATATGCCTTCCCCATTACCCAATCCTCACCGTGTCCACAGCCACAAAACTGGCTGTCTTTATGGCCAGAAGGAGGGATGGCCACATCTCCTTGAAGTTGTCACTTTGCACATCCACCACTGGAACCTGGATTACTAGCTCCTGCCCAGATTTTGTGCTTTTGCTGATACCACCTGGCAGTGAGGAGGGTGACGAAAAGTGTTAATGCTCAGGCAAGGGCCCAGGGGACAGTCACCAAGCCAGGCCATGGATGGGGGCAGTGGAGGCGGGGAGAGGAGCAGCTGTTCCATCTAGGCAAAAAATAACAGCTTTTCCAAGTCTTTTTATTACACATGTTCTACACAAAGGTCTTGAAGTAAACAGTACCCTGAATTTGGGCAGAGAAAGCCTGGTCCCCAGTCACTAGTGTAAAACTTTGGGAAAACTACTTCCTTCTCAGCATCACAATCCGTAGAAGAGGAAAGTTGGACTAGATGGTTCCCGAGGTTCCTTTACCCCAGTTCTGCAGGGCCTGAGGACTTCCGCTCCCTTAAAGTCCCACAAGGCTCCACACCACGGTCGCTAGGGGGCCTCAGCAGCCACAACTGGCATTAAGTACCCAGTATGCTCCGTATAACACAAAAACAACGCGCCGCATCGCTGCTACCAATACGCCCCACTTCCTTTGAACCACAACGCCCAGCTTGAGCTCCAGACTACAACTCCCGTCATGCCCCTACCCGCCCTGAATAAGCGCGCAACACTCCCAAGTTTTGCGGCCTGTACCGCGGTGCACTCGGGGAGTTGTAGTCTCTTCAGGGCGGGTTCAATAGGCAGGAGCTAAGCTTGAGGTCGGCTTCTAGAACTACGACCCTCAAGGCCTTCTCCATCCCCGGACCGCAAAGGCGGCCCCTGGGAAGCTACTCACCGACAGAGACCTCTGGGGCTGGGGCTGCGCCATCGTCACTGTCGGCGGCCATGACGCCGCGCGTTCCTCCCCGGAGCTGTCCGTCTGTACGCGCGACTTCCGCTTCTGGCGCGAGTCCTACGCTCGGGGACGGGGCGGGGCCTCCCCCTCTGAGTTACAGACGAGCCGGACTTGCGTTCAGACGACCGGGTCTGGCGTGAAGGCCGCCCCGCGCTAGCTGAGAGCCTATTGGCTGAGCGGCACGGCTCACCGCCCTGATTGGCCGGAGCCACGCCCCGGACGAGGTCCGGAGTGTGACGCGGGAAACAACGCGCCAGGTAATTTCTTCGCGTACGCGGGTGGGCGAGTGCTGGGTTTCAGCTTTAAGCGGTTTACTTAGGCACCGCCCTGGGTTGGAGGTGGGGGTGGGGGTCACAGAGGAGGTGGTGCTGCTTGAGCTAAGTTTATTTTTTTTAATATTTACTTATGCATATACGAGCTGGGGTACAGGCCACAGGTGTGGGAGGTGAGAGGATTCACCAGAAACACAGTGGGGAGCAGAACAGCCAGATTGACCGAAGTACACTGCTGAGGGGAGCAGCAGGCGAGCCAGGAGAGGTCTGCTGCACCATGTGCGTTTCTCCCTGGCCGGCCGGGGATTGAACTCGTGCTGTGGAGGCTTCGGATTGCTTCATAGTGCGGTGCTTAACCCCGTGCGCCACCAGGGAGGCCCTGAGCTAAGTTTAAAACAAGCATAGGAGCAAGGCAATGAGGGGCGAGCATTGAGAAAAGAACCGTATTCTGGGAATGGACATGTTCCCAAGGAGGCTGGAGAGCTCATTGTGTCCCAGGAGGTGACAGAGAAGGGAGAGGGACACTAGACGAGGCTGAGGAGGATTTAAAGTGACCGACTGTTGTAGAGCAACCCCGATACAAAACGGGGTGCCTGACTGTGGGTCCTCACCCGCGCGCTTAAAAGGACTTATCAATGCTCTACTGCAGGCACACGTGAAAGGTTAATAAAAGGTTTATTTACAAAGGGAAGGGGAAATGAGGAAATGTACAGCTCTGGGAGAAAAGTGGGAGACAAAGTTTTAAATGAGTCCTACCCGATCCGCCGATTAGGAGTCCCAAAATGGCGCTCTGAGAGCTGGCCGCCAGCCAGGAGCGGTGAAGCCAGGAGGCGAGCGATCGCGAGCCAGAGAGCCCAAGGCCCACGTGTTTGGTTTTTTATATCCAACCTGGCTGCCCAACTCCACCCTCAGGTCCCAGCCACCCTCCCTTGGTGGTGATGGAATTTGTCTTTCCCAGAGTCTTGATGGCTTTAGTCTGAAGTGGGGGTGGAGTCCACAAAGCCTGTATGGGATTAACTCAGGACATCACTTCCCCCTAACACGACTAGGAGGGGGACTTTTGAAATAAACCAGCCAAGTGATAATGATAGTTAAGGCCCCCCAAGTAGGGACGATCAGGAAGGGACAAACTGTAGGCAGTTGACCTCGAGGGTGATTGCATGTGACCCCTGCAGCCGCGAGAGGTTTCTCGACCAGAGTCCCAAGGACTTGAGCGTTCTCATCTCGGGCACACCAAGGACTCAATCCTGTCCCCTTGGTTGTTCTCTTTTTCTTGTTCATCTTCATCCTTTTGCTCTACTGAATCCTTTTTTACCATTCTGAATGGTTTTTAGATTTCTTCCATTCTAAAAAAAAAAAGGAAAATCTTTTACTATTCCTCATCGCATTAATTACTTTAACTATTTACTGATTACACTTTATCTGACACAGTGTTTAACTCAGGGGACAAACCGGCCCACAAAAGAGCTCTAGTCCTTGCTCTTAAGGAGTTTTATAGTCACATGGGGGGATTGAGGGGAAGAAGCAGACACTGATCAAAGAATCACGAGTACTTCGAAATTACAGTTGGTATAAGAGCAACAATGGAAAATATACAAGAGGGTAAGGTTAGGGAACCAGATTTGGACTTCAAAGTCAAGGCTTGAAGAATGAGTAAATGTTAGCTAAGCATGGGAGAAAAGATGTTCAAGCAGGGAATGTTGATTGCTTGAGGCCTCAAGGTTGACAGACACTGAGTAGATTAAAGTAACTGTTTCAGGCAAACTTGGCTGAAGCACAGTGAATGAGGGGATGAGTTGGGTGGGGCCTCTTGGAACCCACAAGGTTAAATTAAGAGGATTGACGTCTATTCCTAGAGCCATGGTTGTGCCAAGTAAAGTCTCCCAGAGGCCTGCTAGATAGTTTGTAATCTTGTGCCCCCACCTTCTTTATTTGTCTGACCTCTTGTCTTATTACTAATCTCATACCATTCTAATCATACTGACTTCCTCCTTATTCTACAAACACCAGGGTCTCCTTAGCACCTTTGCACTAACTTCATCTAGGGATTCTTTTCCTGTAGATATCAACATGGCTAACTCTTCAACTGCTTTAAGTCATTGGTCAAATATCACTTTAACAAAGCTCATCCTGACCACCTTTAAAATTGCAACATCCATCCCCCACTCACTCCCTTTACCTGCTCTTCTCCTCTTTATGCTAATGTTTGTCACCTAACATTCCATATAATTTACATATTGTGTGTTATTTATTGTCTGCATCCATTAGAATATAAGTTCCATGAAGTCAGGAACCTTTTAGTTTTATTTACTGAAGTATTCCAAATACCTAGAAGTGCTTCTTGTAGATACGCTATAAATATTTGTTCAGTGAATTAATGGGGAAACCGTTGAAAGTTTTAAGTAACCATCATGTCTTAAAAAGATTGCTTTAGGGTCTCCCCTGGTGGTGCAGCAATTGAGCGCTGGGCTGGGAAGCTGCCCACAGCCTCTGCAGCGCTGGTTGGATCCCCAGCCACCAGCGAGGGTTCCACATGGTGCGCAGATCTCTCCTGCTGCGCCCACTGCTCCCCTCAGCAGTGTATTTCGTTGTTCTGCCTGTGCTGTTCCCCGCTCTGGCTTTGGTGAATTCTCTCACCCTCCCACACTTCTGACTGTACCCAGTGCTTGTATAAATAAAAAATAAATAAACTAAAATAAATAAAAAGATTGCTTTATTCTTGGGGAAAAGTTTGTAGAACGAATTGTGGAAGTGAGTTTGGCTATGAAGGGAAGAAGAGTGTTTTTTTAAAAAGATTTATTTATTTATGCATACAAGAATTGGGGTACAAGCCAGAGGTATGGGGGGGGTGAGAGGAATTCACCAGAAACAGAGTGGGGAGCAGAACAGGCGGATCGACTGAAATACACTGCTGAGGGGAGCAGCAGGCGAGACAGGAGAGGTCTGCTACCTGGCCGGGGATCAAATGCATGCTGCAGTGGCTGCGGATAGCTTCACAGGTTGCATCTTAACCCCTTGCGTCACCAGGGAGGCCTGAAGAATGGGTTTTGTGGAAGGGATTAGAGGAACAGGACCCAATTTAGAGGAAGGGATTATTCCTCCAGGTATTGGGGGACAGGAGGAGAGTGCTCATGGAAGGAAATTTGTACATTCACTTTTTTTTCTCTGAAGAAAAATTAAGCTGATTTGATGAAAATAAGGGGAAGTAGAAGATTTGAGGAGACTTTGAACCACAGGTTAACCAAAACTGCAGCTTAGCAGAGTGCAAGAATGCAGGCTCTGGAAGCATATCTTTTGGGTTTGAATGAACAAGTTCCTCAATCTCTACAAGCCCTAGTTTCCTCTATGGAAGAAATTCTGGAGGTAATTCTGCAGCATTTGTCATGGTGTCATCAGGAGACTGAGTGAAAAATCTAGAAAAACACCTAGCATAGGGTTAAGCAGTCTCTGTTAACTGCTTTTAGCTGTTAGAGAAAAGGCAGCCCAAATAGTCAGGGAGCAGTGAAGATCAGATATGTTTTTTTCTTTACTAGTGGCCAGCCAGGAATGACTGAGTAGATCAGGAAAAGATTAGGAATAAAAATAGCTCATCTTTCTCCTCTCCTGACTTGCCATCTGCTCAAAAGCAGATCTTTTCTACTCTCTGATCCTTGGTTTATCTTTTCAATAGAATGAAGGTTTGGAGTAGATGACTACTAAAGGCTATTTCAGTGTAAATATGTCATATCTCTAAGCAGATAAATTTCCCGCACCCCATGCTCCTAGACACTTAACAAGCCCCTGTCTACATATGCAATCACAATAAGCATGAGGGATACATAGGTACTTCTCAACAGGAGGCTTTGGACCTAGACCCAGTCAGGCCCTGGCCTCTTTTTTTTTCATTTTTTTGGCTGTCTCCATACTATATGGGAAAGGGACTTATGCTCTGGTCCCTCTGAGGCTGCTTGCAGAAGCTTAGCCTTACTGGTCATACCCCAGCGCTATAGCCAACCAAGAGCAAACACATGAGCATCTGGAGAGTGCTTGAGAAAAACTAAATGCTCTATATGAATGATATAGGGAGGACATGGGCTACTCCCTTTGCAGAGCCCCAAGATGCAGTCATTGTGACTGACCACTGTGGCTGGTACCTTCTGTTTTAGGCCCTCATGAAGAAGTTAGGATCAACTATGCGAAGTGGTCTCAAGAAGCAAGCTCCTGGCCCCAAGGGAAGGGGGAAGCGTGCTCCCAGCAGCATCCAGGCCAAGCCTTCTGCCCCTGATGGTGAGGTATTCAGAACAGATTAAGGGGCTGGTTTCACTTACCATAAAGGAGGGTAGATTCTGGCTGGGAAGGGAGAATGGTGTGTATCAAGGCCCTGAGGACTAATGAATGATCCAATTCTGACTTTGCTGTGGGACCTTGGGATAATTTCTCTGAATGACTGCTTCTTACCAGTGAAATGGAACAGTGGTCTGTGCATTCCTTCCCCACAGGCTTTCACAAGATCAAATGAGATTACCAGCCTAAAAGTATTTTGTAAACAGGAAACCCTACACAAGTATATGTTCTGCTTGATTGGAACTTTTAGATTTTCATTATGATACAGAGACAAAGGAGCCTGAGAAAATTAAGACCAGAAACTTGGCTGAGGCTACATGTAGCCAGAGAGCTCTGGTCTGTCACCAGCTCCAAAGCTTAAACAGGGCTAACGGGTGGGGCCTGGTGCAACCTGGCTGCAGTGCCCCAGGTCGCTGGTGTATTGCCTGTGCAAGGGTGATCCCTGAGTTTCCTGAGACTCCAGCAGGCCTTGCCAGGCGGCATGAAGAGATGCAGGACTCTGTCTCCCCATACCACCTGTTCAGAGACTCAGCTGAGGTCACAATCTTCCGGGGGAGTCTGCTGAGCTGGTACGACCGAGAGAAGCGGGACCTACCCTGGAGAAGGCGGGTAGGCAGGCAAAGGATAGGGATGGAAGGGTGGGAGACTGGCACCCAGCGCCCTCCACACTGACTCTCCATTTGGGATTGCATTGGCAGGCAGGGGATGAGGTGGACCTGGACAGGCGGGCATATGCTGGTGAGTGCATCTCCTGAGAGCATGACTGCTTTGCCCGAATGCACTCAGATCTGGGGTCTGAGGGCTGGAAACAGGGCAGGTCAGCAGTGCCTGCATGTCAATTCCCCTCCCCTAGTGTGGGTCTCAGAGGTCATGTTGCAGCAGACCCAAGTTGCCACCGTGATTGACTACTATACCCGATGGATGCAGGTGACTTTAGGGAAGGAAGGGAGGGTCATGGGCCTGTCCTTTGGGGTGCATGTAAAGAAGATTCTCTCCATTTCCCTCACCCTCAACATATTTTTTTGCTTGTCTTTGGGCTATAGAAGTGGCCAACGCTGCAGGACCTGGCTAGTGCTTCCCTGGAGGTGAGAGCCACCCTGGGAGAGGGGGAGTAGGGACAACTGAGGACTCACCACTGATTTGACCTCTGACCCTATCCACAGGAGGTGAACCAGCTCTGGGCTGGCCTGGGCTATTACTCCCGAGGTCGGCGACTTCAGGAAGGAGCCCGGAAGGTAAGAAGGTAGTAGGGAGGGGATCTCCCAGGGGCCTTCGGTGCCTTACACTTTGAGCCTTCCCATCCCAATCAGGTGGTAGAGGAGTTAGGGGGCCACATGCCACGTACAGCAGAGACCTTGGAGCGGCTCCTGCCTGGCGTGGGACGGTACACAGCCAGAGCCATTGCTTCCATAGCTTTCGGCCAGGTGAGCCCCTTGTCCACTGCCACTTTGTGCATCTGCCACATTCCTGCCAGACGAGGCTGACTCCTGACCTCCTTCATGCCAGGCAACTGGAGTGGTGGATGGGAATGTAGTCCGGGTGCTGTGCCGTGTCCGAGCCATCGGTGCTGATCCCAGCAGCTCCCTTGTCTCCCAGCAGCTCTGGTAGGATGTTGGGGTAATGGGCGATTGAGAAAGGTGTTTCTGAGAGGTCTTTGGCTCACAATGTTCCCTTCTTGTAGGAGCCTAGCAGAGCAGCTGGTGGATCCAGCCCGGCCAGGGGACTTTAACCAGGCAGCCATGGAGCTTGGGGCCACTGTGTGCACCCCACAACGCCCACTCTGCAGCCAATGCCCTGTGCAGAGGCTCTGCCGGGCATACCAGAGGGTGAGACATGGGGAATGGCAGTCAGGGTTCCTCAAGGGTAATCCCTGTCCCATGACATCCTGCCCTGTGCTTCTCAGGTGGAAAAGGAGCGACTCTCAACCTCACCGTGTCTACCAGGCAGTCTTGATATAGAGGAGTGTGGTGAGTGCCAGCCCTAGCCCTCTCCTGTGCTGTCCGGTATCTTCCTGGGAAGCTTCGTTCCAGCCCATCCTACACCCTGAGTAAGATTCTTCAGAGCTTGGCCAAGGTCTGCTCTCATCTTGACACTTAAGCCCCCGTGCCTGACTAGAACTTGGGGGTTTCTTTTCCCAGCTCCCAGCACTGGACAGTGCCAGCTGTGTGCACCTCCAACAGAACCCTGGGACCAGGCCCTGGGAGTAGCCAATTTTCCCAGAAAGGCCAATCGCAGACCCCCCAGGGAGGAATGTTCTGCCACTTGTGTTTTGGAGCAGCCCAGGGCCCCTGGGGGTGCTCGAATTCTGCTGGTGCAAAGGCCCAATTCAGGTACCTGAATCCGGGGACTGGGGGGCAGGAACAACAGGAAGGAGTTAGCTGCTAAGGCCTCCCCACACCTGGTTGCCTTTCCTTTTAGGTCTGTTGGCAGGATTGTGGGAGTTCCCATCAGTGACAGGAGAGCCCTCAGGGCAGCATCTTCACAAGGCCCTGCTGCAGAAACTGCAAAGTTGGGCCGGACCCCTCCCAGCCACCCGTCTCCAATACATTGGGCAGGTGAGTGAGCAGTGGAGAGACCAGGAATTAAGATTTTTTTTTTTCAGCGAAGGAAAAACAATACCATGCATATAGAGAATTTACATGGTTGTAAATTCTAACAAATAATGGAGCAGACTGGGACTATTTATCCTGTGTTTTAGGTCCTGAGACATCAAGGACAGAGAGGGGGAGACAGGAAAGGTGACATCATGCTTACTTTCAGAGTAAAGATGAGATTCTTAGGACATGTTTTTTTTTTTTAAAAGATTTATTTATTTATGCATACAAGAGCTGGGGTGCAGGCCAGAGATGCAGGGGGTTTCTGAAGGGAGCAGCGGGGGAGACAGAAGAGGAGAGATCTACCTCGCCATGTGGGTTTCTCCCTGGCCGTCGGGGGATCGAACTCATGCTACAGAGGCTGCGGATTGCTTCATAGTGTGGTGCTTAATCCCTTGTGTCAACAGGGAGGCCCAGGACATGTTTATTGATAAACCTAGAACTGGGTGAGAACCCCTAGGACTTTGGTAGCCACATCCACACATCCATTTCACCCTCTTGGCCCTCCCTCCAGGTGGTCCATACCTTCTCTCACATCAAGCTGACATACCAAGTGTACGGTCTGGCCCTGGATAGGCAGAACCCAGTAACCATCACACCACCTGGTGCTCGCTGGCTGACCCGGGACGAGTTTCACACGGCAGCTGTCTCCACCGCCATGAAGAAGGCACTACCTTTGTTGTCTTTATTCTGTTTCTGTCTTTGTTGTTTTCTGTCTACATGTCCATGTGAAGTTAACTATGTAACTATAAACAGAAAAAAGAAAGCATACTTTAAACAAAAGGGCTGGGGCATGAAGTTGAGGACAGAACACAGGAGTTTGGCTCTTGGGGGAAGATGCTAGCCATTTCCTCTCCCCCTTCTTCTTGGCTAGGTGTTTCGCGTGTACGAGGGCCGCCAGCCAGGGACCTGCAAGGTGAGCCCTTGGCCTTCCCTCAGCTCTCCCTACAATCTTAAACCCATGGGTTTTCAGTGAGTTAAAAGACACATTTGGGTGAACATTCTGTGCCAGGCTTTATTTGGGGGAAAGAAATAGTTCTTGACCTGGAGACCTTTCCAATCTATGTGCAAGAGTGGAGAGGGGACTAAAACATATAAGGGAGACAGTAGCATCACAGGTGTGAAATGTTTGGACTAGGTTTTATAGGATATGAAGAGGGGCGTGAGGGGTTCTACCTAGAAGGCAACGATCAGGAAAGGCTGCTTGGAAGAGGCTGGTAATCTGGGTCTTAGAAATGAATCATTTACCTCCAGGTTCAGGAGGGAATTGGCTTGTGGATGTTCTTTTCAGACCCAAGTGTAGTATGAGCAAAGCTAATAGTAGTGAAACTCCAGGTGGTAGTGTGAGCTGCAGGAGTTGAGAGTGGTTGGATTTTAACTGGAGCAGGCAGCAAGGCCCGCCCAGGCAAGTTAGAGCTGTGAACACCAAGCCACTGAAGCATTTTATTTTATTTTTTTTGAGATTTATTTATTTATGCATATAAAAACTGGGGTACAGGGCAGAGGTGCAGGGTGTGAGAGGATTCACCAGAGACAGAGTGGGGAGCAGAACAGCCATATTGGCTGAAACATACTGCTGAGGGGAGCAGCGGGCGAGTCAGGAGAGGTCTGCGGCGCCATGTGGGTTACCTCCCTGGCCAGGGATTGAACTCATCCTGCAGCAGCTGCGGATAGCTTCACAATGCTGACGCTTAAACCCTTGTGCCACCAGGGAGACCCTTGAAGCATTTAAAAAATTTTTTTTTATTTTTTAAAGATTGATTGATTGATTGATTTATTTATTTATTTATGCAAGAACCAGGGTACAGGCCAGATGCACGGGAGGGTGAGAGGGTTCACCAGAGACAGCGCGGGGAACAGAACTGGCAGACTGACGAAATACACTGCTGAGGGGAGCAGCGGGGAAACAGGAGAGGTCTGCCGCGCCATGTGGGACCCTCGCCGGCCGGCTGGGATTGAACTGACGCTGCAGAGGCTGCAGACAGCTTCACAGCACTGCGCTCAACCACCTGCACCACCAGGGGAGGCCCCCCTGAAGCATTTTAGATGGAGAGTCCCAGATGTGCCTTTTAGGGAGATTACCTTGGACTGCCTTTAGAGACTTGACCTAAGACAAGTTGGAAGCTTTAGAGCATTCCAGGCTAGAACCTGAGCTATATTGGTAGAGTGGTGCAAGAGGTGGAAGAAGAGGATTCTATGCCGCACCTTCAGTGCCTCCTCCTTTTGACTTCTGCACAGGGTTCCAAAAGATCCCGGGCGTCCACTCCATCGACCCGGAAGAAGCCCAGCCCAGGCCAGCAAGTTCTGGATAGTTTCTTTCGGCCCCACGGCCCCACTGAAGCACCCAGCCTCAACAATGTGGACCAGTGATGCCTTTGCAAGACCCCAAGCCCTGAGACTCCCATTTTTAAATAAAGTGTCTATGTTTGTAGTCATTTTGGAGACTTTCCACCTTCACTCCTCATCTCTGAGGGACCCAGAGAGTGCTTAAGTCCTGCTTAGTCCTGCCATCCACTGGCTGAGCTCCCACCAGCCTGGACAAATGGAGGAGGAGGTGTTTTGTCCACAGTAATTGTCTGGCCCCAGCCCCCAGGAGAGAGGGAGAAGGCAGCTGCAGGGAGCCCTTGCCAGAGGCTGACACCCAACACCCTTGTGGAGGTCTGTGGCTGCTCTGATGGGAGCTGTGCTGTCACCCTAGAGCAGGTGGTTGGGCTCAACCCTGGCCCAGACCTTCCCACCTGCAATGGCTGCTCCCTATGGAGAGGGGAAACACAGGTGAGGGTTTGTTCTGTCTTAAATTTCTACCTCAAATAGAAAACTGTTTATTTAGAAGTACATTACATAAAGAGTGAAATACATAAAAGCAGGGGGTTAATCATAAAATTGGGGGTGGGGTGAAGAGAAATGGAATTAGAAATAAGGACGCTTCAAAAGCATTGATTAGGATCTAGTTCCTACTAATGTAATTCTTTTTATCTTGCAAAGAAGATATAAACTCTGTCTTGCACATTAGAGCCAAACTGTTTAAGAAATGTTTCATAGTTCTAAGGAATTCCAGCTCTGGACTCCAATGAGAGATTCAACTTCCTTCTGGCAGGTACTAGAGATAAGAGGCCACACCTGGGAACATAGCCTTTCCCTTCAGACCTTTGCAAGTGTTTCTCAGTTCAGAATACATGTTCAGTTCAGGACAGTGGCTGTATCCAGCTCAGGACCTCCTTATGCTTGCCGACTTCTGGCAGCTTGCTCCTGTACAGACTGCCAGAGAGCCCGGATGTTGCCCTGGCCAAAGCCTGTGGCTCCCTGCCTTTGAATTAGCTCCAGAAAGAAGGTGTCCTCTGCAAAGAGGGACTTGGTGAAGACCTGAAGCAGAAACTTGCCTTTATCCCCATCTAGCAGGATCCCCTGTCGGGCTAGCAGACGAGGCTCATGCCCTGCTGCTATGATCTGTCTTTCTTTGCCTGGCCGCTGATAGTAGGCCTCAGGAGGAGTTAGGAGCTGGCCCCCAGCCCCCAACACCCCTTCGGTGGCTTCCATGATGTTAGGTGTGTACAGCCCCACGTGCTGCAGCCCTGGTCCCCTGTGCCGGAGGAGAAACTGCTCCACCTGATCCTGTTCACTAGTGGCCCTGTTCAGGGACTCTGCAAGCACAAATGTGGGGACATCATTGCCTAAAGGGGTTTTCAAGGCGGTGAGCCTCAGTCCTCCACTCCCAGACCCTACTGGGACCTCGAGGCCCTGCTCAGGATCTTCACCTGGGCTCAGTGGCATGTGGCGAAAGCCCAGACAGTCACAGAACCAGCGCATCAGTGGTGGGGAGCTGCCAGGGGTGCAGGCCAAGGTCAGGTGGTCCACATGGCTGACCCATCCCTGGCTGGTTGCCGAGGATACCGGCCCGAAACCGGGCAGGAAGGGGCCACAGAAGCTGGCACGCTCCAACAGCGTCAGGCTGAGGTTGCCGGCAGGGGAACTGGTCACGGCATAAGTGGCATGGCCCCGCGCATCCCGCACCTTAACTGGGGGCACCAGGAGGCTGCAGCCCCGCGCGGCCAGCACCCTGGCGGCAGCGCCCACATCGGTCACTTCGAAGCACAGGTTCGTAGCACTGGGCACCGCATGACGCTGGTCCAGTCCATACAGCGGCTCGGCGGGTCCCGAGCCCTCATTCACCAAAAAGACCGCGTCCCCGCTGCGCAGCGCTAGCTGCCTCCAGCCGTCTGCCTCTCGCACTGCCAGGGGCTGGAAGCCGAAGAGGCGCTGCAGATCCTGAGCGAGGGGCTGTCCCGGAGGCACGTGGAAGGCAATATGGCACAGACGGCGGGCGCGCGTGGCCATGGCGGACTCAGCGACCCCGGCCTCACCTTCCCCTGGGGTAACTCACGCGGAGTTCAGGCCGCCGAGATACTCTGTTCCAGGATTGTCGTCGGAAACCGGTGGAGTCCAGTTTTTCCACCAGAGCACGCTCCTCGCTCTTTTCCGGGACGAAATCGCAGGCCGAGCCCCTTAGGGACTCCAGGTTCTCCCTGCAGCCCCCCGCAACCTGGAGCTAACTCGGGACCACCGGTCTGCGCTGCAGGTGGCGAGAACCGAGCGGAACGATGAGGGGCGGAGCCGACAGGGGGTGGAGTTAGTGACTCCGGGGCTGACAGTCACTACCCGCCCGCCCGCCCCTGTCGCCCGGGTAGATCGAGAGCTCAGAGAACTGCTCCTTTCCTTGGTCTCTGACCGAGTCACACCCTTGGGTCCTGAGCCTCCTTTTCCGGCACCCGGAAATCTCAATAATTGCCTTCGCTCAGTGCCAGGCGCTGGGGTCTCGCTCTTCGCGCCACCTGGGAGCACAGGGCAGCAGCTCCCTTTGGGGGAGAAGGCTAATAGTCTTCCTTAAGGACGAACCTTCTTATCAATATAATGCTTAGCTTTAAAAATTCTGGAGAATTTTGCTTTTAAGTCCTAATGTTCCTTTAAAACTAAAAAAATATTAAGATGTTTTAAGTTACAGATTTTCATTCCCAGGGAAATTGATGGCACAGTAAGGTAAACGATCTATATGGTTCCTACACAGGCCTCTCCTTTATTTCAGGCAACTTCTCACTGACACTTTTCTTTCTTCAACTCCTTTTTCTGTCAACAACTTTGCCCCTTGTTCCAAACCAGATTGGGAGAAAAAACCTGGTACTTGGAACCTGAAAGGAACAGCTGCTTGGGTGTCATTTCTCACCCTTTGGGCCCTATTATAACGAGAACACTCTTTGGTGTTCTGACTGGATATTGGGTCAAAGTTTTCAGTGGCATTTCAGAATTGTGAAGAAATTAGGCATCTTTTGGGACTTCAGCTGATAACTCTTGAGGGTTTGGGACAGGCATTCCAAGGAGGGCAAAGGGCATAAGCAATAGCTCTGTGAAAAATGTGAGTCAAATCTCAGAGAAGCAATAGAGCATAAGGTTGGGAGGCATCTGGCATAGATGACATGCTCCAAGGCACTGCAAAGGATTCCTTTTTCAGACAGACTGATGTGATGACTTGCAGTTGAGTTTCTTTGGCAAGAGAAAGGAGTGATGGGAGAGGTGCCAGAGGGAAAACAGGGCTTAGAAAAAGTTGTCTAGCGAGGTGTTCAGGCCTGCAGCTAGGACGGCAGTACCCAAAAGCTGGTTGGTGGTGACGAAAGACACTTGGTGCTACTCTGCAGACCATGATTTCCCAAAACCAGAGAAATGTGGGTTTAAAATCTACCTCTAATACATACTAGTTGTATGACTTTGGGCAAGTTGCTAAATTTCTCTGAGCTTTAGTTTCTTTATCTGTAAAAATGGGAATAATAGTAGTACTGTTATAGGACAGGGAGAGGGGCAGCCCAAACCCCGCAAACCTGCCTATTTTAAATGGGTTCTGCCATCCGCCGCATCAACACAAAACATAGGAGACTTTAATGGGAAGGAACTTTAATAAAACTAGGAAACAATACAGGTAAGGCAAAGAATTTAGTTTCTAAATGAAGCACCCAAAGTTACCCATCCCCTTGTGGGTAAAAGTCCATCCATATGGGATCGGCCCAGAGCAAGGCCCCAAAGCCTGCCACAAGTCTAAAGCATCTTCCAGTGGGGACCCACAGCAAAGGGTCAGAAACAACCAGACAAGCCCGGAAGGAAAAGAGCAAAATCAACATCAAGATAAAAGCTGCCATTGTCACCTCCCCATGGGTCTCACCCACATCTGTGTCACCCAGTCCACAACCAAAAGACAAGCGCAGTTTCTTCACGTGTCTCCTGGCTCCATCCTGCTTCCTTCCCCAGTCTCTTCTGCAGCTTTTTCTCTTTCTGCTCAGCTCCACCCTCCCTTGGGTGGGGCAGGGAACCTCCCCCTTTCCTGGGGACCACCCTGTTACAGTACCTACTTCATAGAGTTGTAATTAAATGAGATAGTATGTGCTATAGGCTGCCATGGGGTCCAGGTTTTAGTCTTTTAACCTGAGCCTAGCTGTGTGGGTCAGGATATCCAAAGCAGCAGCTAGGCAGGGTGTCACAAGGAGATGGGCTTCAGTAGGACCAGGAATAATAGACACAGGGACACTTCTCCCTAGACTGGAGCACTGGCAAAACCCTGACTTCGGTGGGGAAAGAGCTCTGAGACTAGGACTCTCTGAGGACTGGCTCAGAATAGGTTATCATCTTCCCCAGCTATTGTGAGGGTGGAGGTGAAATGGAAGGGGGGGGGGCTCAAATGAGCCCTTCTCTGGTTCATCTGCAGGGATTTCCACCCGAGGGCCCCAGGTACAGCAGAGGGTACAGGCAGAGATGAGTCAGAAACAGTATCTCTTATTCATCTCTTCCCACCTGACGCTGGAAGAATTGTAGATTTTTGGAGGCTAAGTGGGGGTTGTCTGAAATTATCTTGCTAAGGGCACGTCGCTTGACCTTGACCTTGACCCAGGGCACAGACCGGGTGCTGATGAGAGCTGCTCTTGTTCCAAACAAGTTTGGGAGAAGAAGTGGTCATGGATGTTGATCTCCCTCCGGATCAGATTTCATTTCCTGCAGCCCTGCTGGCGTCCAGGTCGTGACTGTACCCACGCCCTGTACTGTTGGGATCAGAACCCTGCAGAACTTTCACAAGATGGGGCCTCCCAGCATGACCTCCATGGCCCTCTAGCTGCGGCTATACTTGCAGAGGTGGAGTCGCAAGGACAGGACCAGGCCGCTGGAGGGCGCGCGGGTCCGAGGTGGCGCTGCTGCAGGCCGAGTTGCTGAATCCGTGAAGGAATGGTCTTCTCAGCATCGACAAGGCGGTTAACCCAGGAGCAGTGCTCAGCCGCCTCCAATACCCGAGTCCGCTCCTGCCCGCGACCCCTCTCTTATCTCCTCTGGACTCCGCTTGCTTCCTGCGAGTGGAGGAAGGGAGAGAGAGAGAGAGAGAGAGAGAGAGAGAGAGAGAGAGAGAGAGAGACATCAGAATTTTGAGAAGGTGACTTGGAAAAGAGGAAGCAAGAGGAGCAGATTTAAAGGCCCTGAGGCAGTAATGGAGCTTCTGTATTAGATCAAAAGGCCAGTGCATTGGAAGAAGATAGGGAAGGAGGTGGGGGAGAGGCCTAGAGAGAAAATAAATCTTGTAGCATGTTTGGACTACAGCATTTACTCTGAGATAGGATTGAACCCCATTTCTGCTGAACCTCTTTGGCTGAAACGTTGGTCATGGGCTGCAAGGGGAGTAAGGGCAGAAAGGGAGCCCATTCAGGTCATTGTTGCTTCTAACAGTGTCAGGAGGACCATAGAAAGTTTCCTAGGAGGAGACTTTTAAATTGAGGCTGGAAGGTTGAGTAATTGTCAAGATGAGGGGCAATTTAAGTGTTGGAGGATGGAAGGGAAGTGCTCCAGTTGAGGATGAGCTTATACCAAAGCATGTGTCCTGGGCCTCCCCTGGTGGCGCAGTCGGTGGAGTGCCGCGCTGTGAAGCTGTCCACAGCTTCTGCAGCGCTGGTTCCATCCCAGCCGGCTGGGGAGGGTCCCACAGGGTGCGGCAGACCTCTCCTGTCTTGCCCGCTGCTCCCCTCAGCAGTGTATTTTGTCAGTCTGCCTGTTCTGTTCCCTGCTCTGGCTCTGGTGAATTCTCTCACCCTCCCGCGCATCTGGCCTGTACCCCGACTCTTGTATAAAATAAATAAAGAAATCTTAAAAAAAAAAAAAAAAAAAAAAAAGCATGTGTACTTGATTGGCAATTGTCAGTAATTAAATCCTTCCCTAGATGGGAAGTTTCTTGAGGGAATGTAACAGGGTGGTCCCCAGGAAAAGGGGAAGTTGCAGGTTTCCTGCCCTACCCAAAAGAGGGTGGAGCTGAGCCGGAGAAGAAAGAAGCTGCAAAGGAGACTGAGAAGAAAGGAAGCAGGATGGAGCCAGAAGCAGACCTGGAGGAGGCACATGGAGCCGAGAGACACGTGAAGAAACTGCGCTTGCCTTTTGGTCGTGGACTGGGTAACACAGATGTGGGTGAGAGACCCGTGGGGAGGTGACCATGGCAGCTTTTATCTTGATGTTGATTTTGCTCTTTTCCTTCCGGGCTTGTCTGGTTGTTTCTGATCCTTTTCTGTGGGTCCCCATTGGAAGATGCTTTAGACTTGTGACAGGCTTTGGGGCCTTGCTCTGGGCCATTCCTGCTTGGGTGGACTTTTATCCACGAGGGGACGGGTAATTTTGGGTGTTTGATTTAGAAACTATATTCTTTGCCTTTCCTGTATTGTTTACTAATTGTATTAAATTGTATTAAAGTCTAATATGTTTTGTGTTGATGTGGCAGATGGCTGAACCTATTTAGAGCTGGCAGGTTTGTGGTGTTTGGGGTGCCCCTCTCCTTGCCCTATAACAGGAATAGCTGTAGAGTAAGTCTTCACTTAACAAGTGGATAGGTATTTGGAAACCATGACTTTAAGTGAAACAACATATAATAAAACCAATTTCTCTGCACTCATTAAATAAACCATAGACTAATTGATAGAAACAAGAGTTCCTATGACCTATTTCTTGTCACAAAAAACATCATCAAACTTCTAAATAAAGACCTAAAACAATTCTAATTATTAAATAATAACTTGTATTCATTCACTTATTTTTCAGTCTGCTTATTTCAGTTCAGTGTGACTGGAGTCTATACCCAGCAGCTCTGGGCACAAGATGGGAATCAACCGTGGACAGGATGCCATCCCTTTGCAGGGCACATTCATACCACCTACACTTACTCAGGCTGGGACAATTTAGAAATGTCCATGAACCAAATGTGCTCATCTTTCTGCTGCGGGAGGAAACCGGAGTACCCAGAGAAAACCCATGCAGACCCAGGAGAATGGGCA